TGTGTGTGTGTGTGTGTGTGTGTGTGTGTGTGTGTGTGTCTGGATCCCTCTGGAAGTTTCCTATATTTTCAGTGCAGGAGAAAATTTTAAAAATCAGCAGAAAGTGGGTCATTTTCAACCACAGCTTAGGAGATAAGCTGGGGTGGGGGGTGGGGCAGATGTATTGTGGCTGTGCAATTCTGGAATGCCCTTCATTGGTCACACTGTAAACTGGGTGCCTGTGCCCCGGGAGGACCAGGTGTGCCAGTGAATTGATGATACTCTAAGCATTGCAGCCTGGGCAGCCAGCTCTGCAAAGTCATCCTCGCAGCAAAGGAGTGGATTTCCCCGGAGAAGGTGGCAGGCCTGAAAGGGAGCAGGCAACCCTTCCCCAAGGCCCAGGGCAGCACTCCCCCAGCCTTTCTCTTCTTCTCCTTCCAAACCACCTGGCGAACCCCAGGTCCTGTGTGCGGCCATTCTTTAAAAGCTGAATATGGTCTTGAAATGTGCTGTCTATTTCAGTCATGAGTTTGGGTTGTTTTTGAGACTACTCTGCAAAGACACCCAAGTCAAGTTTCGACAGGTATATGTCAGGGACATTGGTTAATTACATTCCTCCAGCTCCGTCATGGGGCTGCCCCCCTTGTGAGAGTTGTACCTCCCGATACCAACTGCTCACTGCTCCTGGGCCTTATGTAGCTGTCGTTTGAAGAAGTTGCACAACATTTAAGTACATTGGGTTACTTCTGCAGACAGTACTAACAAATCCAACACAAACACACATATACAAACACACATGCACGCGCACGTCGAGCCTGTGCTCCCATTTAACGCGATCTGTGCATGAAGGATTAATCATGCACAAAGTTGTTTACAAGTCTAAAGGTGAACTGGTGTATGGAACAGGAAACAAAACATTGCCGAACTAGAATCCATTTCAATTTTTCCAAAGCCCTGTTGGAGAATCTCAAATTAAATTGCGCCACGTTCCCAAAGACCAACGTAGGTCACTAAATCTGGGACATCAGCAGCTGGCGGCAGGGCTCCTGGGTAGATGAAGGAGCCGCTAGGACGCTGGCACAGACATCTGGCCCCAGCTCGCTGCTTACCTGGCTGCATCTGTTCAGTGCTGCTCCGCAGCTGGCTGTAGCCAAGGCTCAAGGGCATGCTCTGGTAATGAGGCGGGGAAGACGGAGGGGAGGCCAGCGGTGACATCGCCGGGGACTGTGCTTCCTGCTGCAAAGAACCAGAGCAGAGTTCAGTGGCGACAGGAGAAGGCAGGCAGGCTGAGCAGCAGTGAGGAAGGATCAAGCCACTCAGACTGCTGGTGACCCAGGAGATCTGACGTGGGCAGAAAGGGCTTCTAAACAAATCCCCAGGATTCAAAAACAGCGCCTGTAGCATTCAGAATCTTCAGAGACTCCACTCAGGGAAATCCCAAAACCAAGCCAGGAGCCCTGTTAGCTGATTCCAATCCATTTTCCTTTGGAAAACTGAAGTCACTAATCCCATGCAGTAATGTCCATACCTCCCAATCCTGAGCTCTTTGGGGGTAAAGTCAATTGTTATTCGATACCCCAGGAGTGCTATTTCTGAGAGCTACATCACTTACCACGTCTTTCAACTAACAGACAGAAAAATGTTTAAGTGCTTCACAGGTGGACGGCAAGCTTACTATTGCAAACTAAAAGGCCGGCTTGGTTGTTTGTATCAAGAAACTGCAAAACAATTCATCATGGGCAAATCGTTCCAAGTAGCCTACTCCTTAGTACTAGGATAAAGCTACAAATGGAACCATCCCCATTCTGACATGCACTTGATGTGAACCCTGGGCCAGGTAAGCAGTTTCACTCTGCTGCATGGTTTCCTTCTTTTCTTGTTTTAATGCTTCCAATAGACTACTGTCCTCTGGTGGTGCTGTGTATTAAGCGCAGGGCTACTAACCAAAGGTCATTGGTTTGCACCCACCAGTTGTTCCTCAGGAGAAAGATAGGATACCAATGTATGGCCTTGGAGAGCCAGGGGAGCAATTCTACTGTCCTATAAGGTCAGTGAGACAAAGGGGGTGGGCAGAGTATTTTAGACTCCAGTAAGAGTTAATGGTGTTGGAAACGCACAGGGTCAGCTCTACCTTGTCCTGGGCAGCTCTACCTTGTCCTATAGGGTCCGACGAATAAGAATCTACTGAGTGGCAGTGAATTTTGGTTTATTCTTTGCCATGTTTGGCATGGACCTAGGCTCCACTACCTACCACTGAATAACGTCCTTGACGAGAGAAAATCAAGGTGCACCTTCTCTCTGCACCCCAGGCTTATACTAGGCAGCCCCCCCCCCACCTACAGGTGTGAGTGCACGCTTCAGAGAAAGCACCTTCCTTCCTCTTGAAGGAGAGTATTTCCATCAGTATCTTAGATGGGAAGTTCTCTTTAGACTTTATAAAGTCTTGATGTTGGTATTGTTTTCATGTTACTTTGGGCGAGTTCTTTAATGATATCACTCTATCCTCTGCCCACCCCCTTTTTGAATCCCCAAAGAACCCACTTAACATATGAGACTCATAAAAGCAAGCACTCATGAAATTGTTTAATAAGACTTGTGCTACCTCAACTCCAGCCCCCAAACCAAAACCAGCTGCCAGTGAGCCACGGTGGCCCTGTGAGGACAGAGTGGAACTTCCCCCTAGAGATTCCAAGTAGATAGCCACAGCTTTCTTCTACAGAGCAGCTGGTGGGTTCGAACCACCAACCCTGCAAAAAGCAGCCGAGCACTTTACCAGTCAACCAACAGAGCTCCTCTTATTACCTCTCCCCCATAAACCACCACCTTTGCCAGCATCATCAGGGTGGGCCACAGACGAGTGTATCCCCCCATGTAGCTACAACTTCATTGCATTTATTAAACAACCTGATTCAAGTCTTCTTAAAACACGACAGATGTCTCTGTCTTATAGAAGATAGTTGCTATATGTAACTCACTGTCCCCCATGATTCAATATCGTTAGAAGACCAAGATGTGTCTGATGCCTACCTCTTTCACCCCTTCTTGATAGTCCATCACTTTGGGGCTTTGGTACTTTGGGATCTACCAATCACCATCTGCATATCACCATCAGCACCAAACCAAAAAAAAAAAAACAAACTCACTGCCATCGAATCAATGTAGCGCATAGTGACTATCAGTGGCCTACTTTTAAATCCTGATCCTCCCTATTCTGTCTCCCAATCTGCTAACTGGGTACTGGCAGTAATTCCCAAGGTGGTCTCCCAAGCATGCCCTCTGAGAAAGGACACCTGGTAAAAAATGTCTAGTCCATACAGGGCCTTCTGCCTCTCCCTCTCCCCTGCAGGATTTTTTCAGGGTCTTTAATGCACTAATGTATAAGAGAATGAGTCCAAAAGTATTGCTATACAATCATAGAAACCTTTATCAAATAAAAAAGATCACAATGTGAAGCTACAGTTTCTCAATACAGCTGAAGGCAGTGTTTCCATCTCTCTAACTAACCCTTTCCCAGAATCCCGATAGCATAGTAGTTATACTTTGGGCTGTGATCTTCATGGTCGGCAGTTCGAAAACACCAGCAGCTCCTTGGGAAAAAGACTGGACCTTCGACTCCCATAAAGTTTCCGTTTTGGAATCCCACAGAGGGGTCCTTATGAGTCAGCACTGACTCGATGGCTGTGAGTTTGGTTTCAGGTTTGGGGACCCTTTCCTGATGAATTCTGCACTCTTCAATTTACCCCACATCCAAAGAGCAACTCTGGCCTCCTTGAGTGGCTCAAATCCAACTCTTCATAGGAACAAAAAGAAGTCTAAGGGGCATGATCAGGACCGTAAGGCGGGTGAGGGTAAGGTTTCCTGGTACAATTCTCCTAGGACAGCCCTGGCTACCTTCCAAGAATCAGCAGGTGCATTGTGATGGGGAAAAAACAATTCCTCAGCACAACTTTCTTGGTCTGTTTATTACCAATGCAGTTTTCCCATTTGTTAATAAGCACCCTTAACTACCGTCGAGGCAAAATAAATATCAAGATGACTTCTTTGGAATAAAAAAATTAAGGATATCATCACTTGCTGAGCTGGGTGCTCGGCCCAAATTGAACTAGCCCAGTAGCTCCCTTCAGAGGCCACTAGTTTGGTTGGACTTTTTTTTTGAAGGCACCCTAAGGAGACACCAACAAATCCAAACCCAACTCACTGCCACTAAGTGGATGCTAACTCACAGTGACCCTCTAGAACATGATAGAACTGACCCTTGTGAATTTCTAAGACTAACATTGTATGGAAGTAGAAAGCCCATTCTTTCTCTGGTGAAGCAGGCTGGTGGTTTCAAACTGCTGACCTTGCAGATTGCAGCCCAACATGTAACCACTATGCCACCCGGGATTTCTAAGGAGACTAAAATGATCGTAGTGCTGAGAAAACTTGTCTGCAGCCATCCACAGATCACAGAGACATGTTTAAACGTGTAGTTTGGAATGAGCCCATGTATGTATGCATGAACTGGAAACTTGGGGAGCAATACTATTTGAACCTCCAAGACTGGGGATTTCCTCTTTCTCCCAAGAGTGAAGAAGCAGTCTCTAAACCAGCAGTTCTCAACCTGTGGGTCATGACCCCTTTGGAAGTTGAACAACCCTTTCACAGGGGTCGCCCGATTCATCACAGTAGCAAAATGACAGTGATGAAGTAGCAACGAAAATAATGTTATGGCTGGGAATCACTGCAACATGAGGAACTATATTAAAGGGTCGCGGCATTAGGAAGGTTGAGAACCACTGCTCTAAATGTATTCAACTAGAAAAACCTCTTCCCAAACTTTGGTGTTTGTTTTGCTTGGGTTTGAGTTTGGGGCTTTGTTTTGTTTGGGGGGGGGGGCTATCTAGTAAAATCAGATATCCATATTTTATACAAGAAAAAAAACTAAAACTAAACCAAACTCATTGCCATCGAGGCGATGCTGACTCATAGTGAGCCCATAGGACAGGATAGAATTGTCCCTGGAGTATCCAAAGACTAACTCTTTACAGGAGTAGAAAGCCTCGTCTTTCTCCCTTGGAGAGGCTGGTGGTTTTGAACTGCTGACCTTGCAGTTAGCAGCTCAACACATAATCACTAAGCCACCAGGGCTCCATTTTATACAGAAGTAGGCACTAACGCCCCTGTGGCTTGCTTGTGGTAATTCCTATACAGTGGGCTTTGTGTCAGCCCCTTTTCCTTGCTATTTGAACCTTTTATTGGCTTCCTTCCAGGTCTGTGATTGTGTCCCAGATGGCTGACTACGCTGCAAGCCTGACCATTGGCAGCTCCGGGGTCACTGCTCTGTGATGTTCAGAATCCGAGTCTCCCGCCTGGTCAGATTGTTTACCTGTTTGTCCCCTTCATCCGGTCTTTTGAGTGTGCTTTTTTCTGACGTTAAATATGGAATCTGTGTCTTAGTTCCATGTAGTTCAGCCGGGTTCCCGAATCGTCCTTCTCCCTCGTTCTTGGACATCATGAAGCGAGGCAGGGGCAGTTCTTTGGGACCAGAATGAGAGACACACAGGTGAGACTTTCAGTAACGAACACTGCAAAAAGGGGAAACCTAAGGGGCAAAGAGGAATCATTTTCGAGGGAAAATTCCAGAACACTAAATATAGATTCTATTTTGACGTAGACACCATGAGAACTAATAAGAGAATGGCATGAAGGGAAAATGCTACGGGTTTACCGAGTTGTTTACTGAGGCAGACCAAGTCTCTGGAGGGGACCGATCTCCCTTCAGGCCAGGTCCATGAGAAAAGATAAGGCAATGTTTAACATACAGCAAACGGTAGCAGGTAAGTCTTAGACTAATATAGCACGTAGGATACGCCAGGCAGTATATGAAGGATTTGCAAATATTAACTCATTTAATCCTCACACCTTTCTGCAAGGCTTTATTATCATTAGCCTCTTTTTACAGAAAACAAAACAGAAACGAAGGGGGCAAAGCCCCACCCCCCCAAACCTGCCACAGCTTGTCTGTGGCAGAGCCAGGCTTTGAGCCCAGGCAACGGGACTCAAGTTCCCACTGCCACCCATTCACCAGTGCCCGCAGCTCCCAGGGCAAACGCACAGCTCAGGCCACTTTCTTATGCTCTGTCACTCTTTGCCACGTGCTCCCACTCCTCCTCCACCTGTCTTTTCATTCCAAAAAGACAACGGTATCCAATTAGAGCGATGGGTCTGACTTTTCCATCCGATTTGACTGCCAACGCATGCGCTGCACTCAAACGGCTACAAAGGAGGGGACATCCACCGGGGTGGGCACTTACCTGTCATGTTTCTACCCAAAGGACTCTGCACATGGAAATGAGGCTGTGGCACACTTCCGGTTCTCGGCACCGCACAGCACACCCAATCACCCAGAACAAATGGGAATAATGTTGTGGGGTACGCATCATGATTTGCCATCTATAGCCATTGTCTGGGGGATAATACTCATCAGTGTGGCTCTGCGCTTCCATCAGCTCGCTGTTCCAAAAACACAGCTGTGCTGCCAATGATTGATGCCGCGCTGGAGCCAGAGCCCATCTTAGCAACAGCAAGTAAGACTCCCTGCTCGTGGTTCTCCGGGAGCCGTACCATGTTTGGGGTTAGTTGCTATGTCCACATCGGATTCAAAGGAACAGGCAATACAACATATCTCAGAGAGATCAATCAGCTCCGGACCCGAGAGACAGAGAGGAACCACAGTGAAAAATTACAGAGACTCTCCCCCCAAAGAAAGCCTGGCCGCCATTTTTAATATTTCCATGCTTCCCAACTTGGGGCAGCTCTCCAGGCCTCGAGACTGGAATGGATTCCAAGGGGGGAAAGGCCAAAGAAATTGGAGACCCTTAGAGTAAATCACGTCTAAGCTACTCTTCGGATTCTGGCCTCAGGAAGGTATTTCTTTCTGTCCCATATGCAAAAAGGATCTAAAAAGATGGTCTGAGGCCTCACAGAGTTATTTGCCCCCCTGTTCTTCCCACTAGCATGTAAGTCTACTTTTCAGCATTTTTGAGCCACTGCCCTGCTGCCCAGAGAATGCTGACGCACAGCCATCCTGGAGGTAGGACACCATGGAGCTGCCCCCATGCAGTTTCTCCACAGAAGCAGGCTGCCCCATCTGCCCCCTGCGAAGTGCCTCATGGGTTTGAACTGCTGACCTCTCGGCAAGCACTTGAGCACTTTAATCATATGCCATCCAGACTCCTTGCAGTAGAGGGCATATGAACGGCAAGTACTCTCTGAGGGTTTAAAGGGGGGCCCAGATTCGGGGCCACTGTCACTTTACAAGTTCTCCCCATCCCTGGAGGCAGCTTTTCTCTAGCATGCTCCCTGTTCACTGAGAAAGAACAGCCCCTCCCCGCACCTCCCTCCCCTGCCCCATGCAGTCACCATGCAGCAGAAGATAAAACCCAGCTGAATTCTCTTGTACTTTCTTTGGCCATGTGGTTTCAAGCAACACTCGCTTAATAGAATTGTAAACCTTCATAATAACCTTCCTGTCATTGAAAAAGCTTTTATGAGGGGCCCACTTTCCTTAAGCTGCTGCATGCTTTTTTGTTGGGTTTTTTTTTTAAGAGGGAAAGGAGGAAGTCTAGCTTATAAATGTGAAGTCCGATAGGTTTTCCTAGTCCTACGTAAACCAACTTAGACAATCAGTAGAGTATTACCAAATAATCACGTTCTCTGTGGCAATTGGTAAAGAAAATTCTGCCAAATTAACAGTGAAGCAAAATGAAGAGTTCAGATGAAAATGCTAAAGGGGCCAGGGAGACACGGAGTGCAGCCATCCTGGGCAGCAACTTGCTTGCAAAGGGCATCTTTGGCCGGAGCCTTTGAACACAGAAACGCTTTGTACAGTAAATATAAATGACTTATTCTTCGCTTGCACAAAGAAAAGTATGACTCTCCTTTTTCAAAACATGTGGCCTCTACAAAGAAAGGAAGCATCTTTGCATTTTCATGTTTAACAGAGGCATGGATACAAGCACTACTTCCGTCTCCTCAATCTATTACAACATGCAGGACAAATTCAAGGATAAATGGCCAACGATGCGGAACTCAGGATCTAGACAACAAGGGGTGGGGCTGGGGGGCTGAGCAGAGAGCCTGCTGTCTCCCAAACTAGCCCCTGCTGCTCCTGCCCTTTCAAGGCCATCTCTACAGAAATACGCTGTAAGTCACAGTCGTTTTATATTTGAGAATAGCCACTTTTGTATTTTAAAAAAAGTGAAATTCTTTCCAATAATATCTTTGCACCCAACATTATCATTTCAGCATGTAGTCAAACACTCAATGTCATTGACATCCTTCTTCCCCACTAGCTCTTCCAGCTCGATTCGGACCCACCACCTGGTAAGTGTGGCTAGTCGCACTCGCTACTGCCTGCCACTCTGCAGCTTCTGGGCTCAAGCTGACGGGTGTCATGAGGCGTCGGTTTTCAACCTGGGGGTCGAACGACCCTTTCACAGGGGTGGCCCAAATCATCACAGTAGCAAAATGACAATGATGAAGCAGCAACAAAAATAATTGTATGGTTCGGGGGATCACCACAACACGAGGAACTGTGTTCAAGGGTCGCAGCATAAGCAGAAATCTGGATCAGATGAATGCTATCATGTGTTCAATGTCGGCAGCTAATTTTGTCTGATTATGTAGAAGGTTCTTATGTATGAAGGGATCCTTTACAGATATCTTAAGTTCTCACAAATCTATACACCCATGTAGCCAACACTCAGATGACGCTATAACATATTTCTATCACACAGAATTGTCCTACAATGGTCTTTTCCTATTAATCCTATCCCATTTGCCCTCGATGGCAAACACCATTTCTCATTTCTAAACCCATAGCTTTATTTTGCTGCTACAGGGCTTCCTGTAAATGGAAGCGTCTAGTATGTATCCTTCTGACATGAGTCTTTCGTGGAGCATTGGGTCTGGGGCACTGTGTACAGGGAGAGTCCATTAGCTGCATGCATAGGGAAAGATTCCTTTGTAAATATGTTTCTCCATTCTCCTGTCATCAGCGTTGGGGTTTCCCCATGGGGAGTGAGTGCTTGATCTGGGCGAAATACCTAGAAACTGAAGTCAGCCCACTGCCTACTTCTGTAGAGCCAACGCCTTTGAAGTGGCTTCGATATTTCTTCATGTGTGAAGAAAAAAACTCAAAACTATTTCATGTCTATAAAGTAAGTTTTCTCAAGGTACAGCCGCACCACTTGCCTTCATAGTCTCTGTGGCTGCCTTCATGGCAGGACAGCAGAGATGAGAAGATATGACAGAGACCATGTACAACATAAGGCCGAAGACATTTATTATCTGGCCCTTCACAGAGCAGCGGCTTGCCCTCTGTCTAGCATGAGGATATGGTCACATTGAAATGTAGTGCCACTAAAACAGTACCATTGGGTAGGACAGAATGAGACAGCGAAACCTGCAGGAGCCACAATCACGCAAGTAAAAAACCTGCCCGAGGAGGAATACAGAAAACCCACTAGAATGAGCAATAGAAAAGAGTTCAGACTGCAAGGTCAAAGCGGGAAGGCTTGCCATGCCTGAGAAATCACAGCAATCCCAGTGTGCTCCAGATCTCGGCCGGGTGCAAGGGGGTGGGGGGGGGTCTACCGTATTTCAGGGTTTTTTCTCTTAAATAATGTAAATTTAAAATGCAATCTCTCAGTCACACTAACTACATTTCAAGTACACCATTAGCCAGGCCCAGGTGTCTAGTGGCGACCAGATTGGATCATGCCACTCCGGGTGCTTTTCCAGATGACCGACAAGGAATGCGCTTGTTTTATGCCCACACCAATCCCATCCAGCAGGCACTGCACCCTTTCCCCCGGTGAGCCACCATCTGAAACTCAGAGAGAGAGAGAAACAAAATTCGCTTGAGGGCACCCTGATAGAAGGTGGCAGAGCAAGGATTCAAAATGAGTCTGTGGTCGGCCGAAGCCCATCCTCTGCTCCCCAAGGCTATTATGCCAAGACTGCACGTGAGGACATTCCCGATGCAACGGTGGCATTTTGGAGCTCGAAAATGGTAGCTTGAATGCCCCCATCTGGCAGATGGTCTGAGCATCCCAGAAAAGGGAAGGTGGGCCCCGTCTTAGCCATGCAGCCATGTGACGGTAGAACTATGCTCAAAATAAGCCCCCCAGCTCCTGAAGCCCCACTCTTCCTCCCACTACTTTTACTCACTGCTCCATTTCTCTCAGAGTCGTGGTGGTGCCGTGAGTTAGGTGCTGGCCTCTTTGTAAGGTGGGGTAGTTCAAGCCCACCAGCTGCTCTCCTGTGAAGAGTTACACCCACAGACACTTGATCCAGACAGGCTCACTCCGGGTCAGAAACGACCAACTGACTGTGGGTTTGGGATTTGGTGGGGGGGAGGCATACTGTTTTCCTTCATTAACATCAGCTACTCAAAAGTTAACAAACACTAATGACAACAAGGTTCTATGCCTCCAAAGTCTATCCCCACACACCAACGTCAATTGGCATAA